CGCTCAGCCGAGCAGCGCCTCCATCGTGTAGGGGTGCGGCGGGTGCGGCGGTCGCGGCGGCTCCTGCAACACAACATTCACTCACTATATTGCACATACTTCATAAATACATATAGATAACAATAAATGTGTTCGAATTATTTTTTTAATGAGAAAGGGTGTTGAAAAAATAAAAGAAGTCCCACCTGTCAGTCGAGGATGACGAGCTGCAGCGGCGGCGCGGGTGCGGGCGCCTTGCCGGGCGCTGCGCCCCCTGCGCCCGCCGCGCCCCCCACGACCGCCGCGCCTCGCATGGCCCGCCACGGCGCGCGTGCCCCCCGGCGCAGCTCGCCGCTGCTCAGTGTCCGTCGACCCGCCCTTAACAAAACATATCGGTTTTAGATGATATTTATAAGACTCGATGAATAAGATCAACAAGTGACAGTAGTTGTTGACACTCACTTGGCGAGGTCGGTGGCTCTGAAGTAAAGGTCATCGGGGGCGTCCATCCACGAGATGACGTGGCGCCGGCCGCCGCGACCTGTCAGGTTCGTCGGCTTGCCGTTTACCTGCACAATGAACATATATTATCTTACATTAAGGTTTTATATCAATCGTGATTTTGTCTGTAAAAATATTTACACATCTTACTTATCGAAAGTGTATTATTTTTTAATAGTATTTTATAATAAGAACAAATAGCAATGACATTCATAGTATTCAAATCTATTGAAGATTTTTTTAGCGACGAGGAGATGAAGTTATTTTGGTATATAAGCAGTATGTATGGTAGGAACTGACGTGTGTGAAGACGTGCGCAGGCAGCGGCTGCCCTGTGGCCTGAGCGCGCGCGCACATGGCGGCGTACTGCTCGCGCGAGGGCCGCTGCATGGGCGCGGGGTGCTTGTTGGGCCGCTTGGCGGGCGGCGGCGCGGGCACCTCACGACCTCCACCCACTCCCACGCCCGCTCCTGATACACGCACACACACATTGTCATACATACCACACAACTTTAAATATCGATGATTTTTTGCATGTAATTGGTCTCACAAGGAATTTAGACTAACCTGGTACTGTTCCATAAAGAAAGCATTGAAATAAGATATTTTAAATTAAAAATTATGTAAAAGAACAGTTCTAAACCGACTCATGTCTCTTTTAATATATAATTTTTCCTCTATCCAACATAAATAACTATAGTCGCATATGCATTCGTGGATTTATATGTAAATTATGCGAATTTGTATCCATTACAATATAGTATACTGACTGTCGAGTCCGTTAATGTCGTCATAAGCGCGGCGTTTGAGCGGCGGGGCGGGGGTCAGCACAGGCGCAGGGGCGGGTTCGTTGCGGCGCGCCTCCAGTTCCGCGCGCGAAGCTACGCGCTCGTACATCAAGCTGCCATCTACAAAGACACACATTTTATCAGGATAAAATCTTATCATATATTTTAATTTAGACAAAATCTAATGTAAAAATAAGCAAAAAATCATTCTTATTATCACCTAGTACTGTGTTGTGTTTTTTTTGTTGGGTGCTTGATTGAAGTGCAATGGTCAAATATATACTACCATAGAAAGTTATTTTGAGTTTTACTATTTCATCGTTACCTGGCGCTTTGGGAGGCTTGGGGAAGGCGACGTGGTTGGGCGCGGGCATGCGGTCACGTGGCGTAAGCGTGAGCCAGTCCTGAGCGCGCGGCGCAGCGCCCCCGTGCGCCGCCGCCAGCCGTGCCGCCACCGCGCCTACCGGGCCGCGTGCGCGTGCCGCCCCGCGCACCTCCGCTCCTATACCGGCGCCTACACCGCCAGCCATTGCCAGGGTACCTAGAAAGTATTTGAAGCACTCATTATACTATGTCATAAGATATTTTATTCCAATTTACTTTATTAAGATTAATTAAATAATTAATAATGAAGATTAATTACATCATTAACTGAAGTTTTGCTCTCGTTACGAGGCCTTTTATCTAATATAAAAGTCAAACTGTAAAGCGATATCGTATGTTGAGTACTTACACTCGTGCTTGACCTGATGCAGGTTGATAGGCGAGAAGGGCGAGCGCGCGTAGTGTCGTGGGCGGCGGAGGGCGCGAGCCAGACGGCGCGCCAGCCGCGTGAAGGGCGAGGCGCGTAGGTAAAAGGCGGCGCGCGTCTTCATGACGGGCCG